TAACCAATAATGAATTGGTTCCACAATAAATGTTAGTGTTATTGATTCACAAGTAACTAATGCAGCTATCCTTTCTAATTGCTAATTATGACCTAATTAAAATAGTAGCCTTACCCAAGGATGTCCTAGGTGTTTTAGAAATACAGTTCTTGGTCTCCAAAGATTTATACAGTCTAGTAGCTTTTTACAAAGAACAAACAAACAAAAACATTCACTTAGGCTAAGAATAAATCTATATAAGTAAATATGGACCTTCAGTCATCCCTAATATTTAAGCTTCTAAAAAAGTAATGCTGGTTTTGAGTATGAGACAACTATACCAGTAGTTAATCTTGAACTCATCTTTTGGACTTTGTAAACTAAGTGTAAGAGTTGGAAGGAACCTTAAAGGAGTAACTGGTTGGGTAATTTTCAAACCAGGGCCTTGGGGTTGTCTGGTGTGTGGGGCTCACTCATATTCTCCCAGACTAACTCAATCAAACACCATTACCCAAATCAAAGCATCTCTGCTCATATTCGTTTTAAATATTAGCTATGAAATTAATATTTGTTTCCATTTGAAAAATAATCTTTACTAATATAAATTATTTATAGCTATTCAGTAATAAAACTATTACTCTAGTCTAATTTTTGAGAGCAGTATTACTTTTCCAATTTTACTTATCCTAGGCTAATATCAAAATTGGCTTTTATTCTCTGAACCAAATGAAGGTACGGAGATGCATTGTCCAGTAAAGTAGCCACCATCTACATCTAGCTTTTGAACACTTGAAATGTGGCTAGTCCAACTGAGATGTGCAGTTAAGTGTAAAATACACACCAGGTTTCAAAGATTTCGTATGAAAAAAAAGGAAAATACCTTATAAATAATTTTTCATATGAGTCACATGTTGAAATATTTTTGAATATACTGGGTTAAATAAAGTATATTAAAATTAATTTCAACTGTTTCCTTTTACTTTTTTTTATTTTACTTTTAAAAATATGGTTACTAGAAAATTTTAATTTACATATGTGGGTCACATTTGTGTTTGCATTATACTTCTATTGGATAACACTAATAGAGAGAGAGAGAGACATCTCTGAATTATGCTGAGAGGAAAGAAAAGTTATCTTGTGTTTTAACGACCCACCGCTGATAATTTACAAAGTTTACAGTCTATTGAATTTTGTCTATGGGTATGAAAATTTACTGAGACATTTTTGAGCCCAGTATTTCAAATATTACAAAACATAATTTACCCCCCATGAAGTACATAACTGACAAATGGAGATTGTCAGAGTCATCCTGACTGGGTAGTCAGCAAGGTTACTCCTTAGCTCTTGCATAATATTATCAACCACCCATGAGGTACATCACTGACAAACAGAAATTGCCAAAATCACCCTGAAATATGTAGGAGTGCTAGACAGTCAGTAGTGTTACTCATTAGCTCTTCCATAACATCACAGTAGTGTAATTCAAATCTGAACTTTGGCGCAAAATTACAAAGTACCACATGTCCTGGACTTTTGGGTTCCTTAAATATGAAATTCATACAAGCCCAAGAATGCTACCTAGCAAATAGAAGGTATTTACCAGTATCTAAGCGTCAGGAAAGAGGCAACACATAGGCAAGCACAGTGTTTTCACTGATTATTGGAATTACATGGTTAAAATGACAGTCTTATTTCAAGTCACAGAAAAAAAAAATTTAACTAAGTAATTTCTTTTTTCATTTATAGGTTTTTCTCTTTAGTTTTCAAAAATCTTTGAAAGCTCCTTCCCCTTGTCTCCCAGTGACATTAGCTAAACTTAAACAAATGAAGTCATTAAGCAGTTAGTAAATGTCAATGGAAAAAATAATCAAGGTTAATTTGAAAATTTCCTTTCTAGCAACATCCATATTTATGGATTTTAAAAAAAGATTAAGGGGCGCCTGGGTGGCTCAGTTGGTTAAGCAACTGCCTTCGGCTCAGGTAGTGATCCCAGGGTCCTGGGATGGAGCCCCGCATCAAGCTCCCTGCTCAGCGGGAAGCCTGCTTCTCCCTCTCCCACTCCCCCTTGCTTGTGTTCCCTCTCTCACTGTCTCTCTCTCTCTCTGTCAATTAAATAAATAAATAAAATCTTAAAAAAATAAAAAGATTAAAATACAATGTAAAAAATGTTCCTGGTTCAAGTGATGGTTTTGGGTATTCTGTGTGAGTATGTGTGTTCCAAGAGTACCACAACTTTCAAGAATTCTGTCACCAGAGTAGAGATAAAAATCATGTGATAGCAGCTTAGATTTAGTGTCATTATTTAGCAAAAGAAAGATCTCTATACCTGAGAAGGCATTCATTTTACTTGGATTGTTCAGAGTAAGAATGCCAATGCCACTGTCTTCCTTCTGAAGGTCAATGGATCCACCAGGAAACTGCTGAAGTTTTTTTTTTACTTCTTCCTCATGGAAGCCATGAGATGTATTATAAAGTGACACTCCCGTTTGATGTAGTAATTTTGTCCTTACAGACAAAGATGATGTCGTCAAAAGATTTTTTGCCATTTCTGGAAAACAGAAATATGCAGTAGTCCAGATGAGCACTTTTCTAATATTATACGTTTATAGACTTTTCTGTTTAATTGGGACCACTTCCCCACTTCTAAAAGCACTCTGAGGAGATGGTCGGTATGCAAATCCTTCCCTTTTCCCTCCTTCTCAAACCAAATAATTCACAAAGTATACCATTTCAGTATATCACTGAGAGATGATGATGTAGTTACAGTGCATTTACTGGGATCCAATACATGGGAAAGGTTTAGAAAAATGTTGCTGTTCTGTGTTTAGCACCATCTCCTGCCTCCTGGCAAGTCTTTCTCATGATAGTAGCTCTTCTTCCTCCAACTCTTTAACTGTTGCAAAATCTAAGAATAAATTCAGGCCAATGTCCCCTTGGAAACCGTCTCTATGCAGGAATGCTACAGGAGCAATCCTACTCTCTAACAGAAATTTCATTCTCAGCATTATTCTTACCTTATGCAATGCTCTGATAGGAAACCCTGAGGAATATGAGGAAAGAAGTAGGAATGTGTGCATGGTTTCTTGTGTTCCCCAGGATTTTGTCACCTCTTCTCACTTTATATATACATCCCAGATAATCTCATCTCTGCCCATAAGGGTTTTTGCCCTCTGTAAGAATTTTTGTTGACATAAAACATACATTCAAAACAGTAATACAAATCATAAGATATTGCTCAATGAATTTCACAAGGTAAATATATTCAAGTCAGTAACACCCAGATCAAGAAACAGAACATGAAAACAAAACAAAAAAACCATGAAGCTCAAAGGTCTGTTGTGTCCTCTCTCAGTCACAACTCCAAATAAGGATAATGACTACTCTGACTTCTAATATCCTAGATTAGTTTGGTTTTGAATTTTATGCAAATTGAATAGTATATATTCTGTGCCTGGTTTCAACTGTGTTTGTAACATCCGTTATGGTTATTATGTATAATTACAGTCTAAATAGTCTATTCCTCCCATTGTTGTATTTTATTATATGAATATGCCACATTTATTCTAATAGATAGATATATTTCTATTGGCTAGATCTAAGAATGGAATTATTTGGTTGAGCTGCAGCTGACATACTGATTGTTAAACACTGAAGAATTCTGCAAGTTGGTTTTTTAAATCATTGGTGGCTTGAAATTAAGCATGGTGGAAGTATCAGCAAACTCTACATATCAATAGTCACTTGTCTCTCTCTCCCCCACCCCCTCCTTTCCTCTCTCTCTCTCTCTCTCTCTCTCTCTCTCTCACACACACACACACACACACACACACACACACACCCCACAGCCGGATTCCCATTACTGCATCTATTCATTTGTTCAACTTGGAAAGATACCAAAGAGTTTTCCAAAATGGCTGTACCAATATAAACTGGTATTTCCACAGCCAGTGAATGTTCTAGTTGTTTTACAATCTTGCCATCACCTGCTAACATCTTTTTCTACTTTCTTTTCATTTTAGGCATTCTAAAGAGTGGTATGTCATTATGGTTCCACTTTGCATTTCTATGACCTCTAATGAAGTCAAGCTCCATTTTCATATGCTTATTGGTTATTTGCATATATTTTCTAAAGCGCCTGTTAAAGCTTTTTGCCCATTTTTTCTATTATTTGCCTTTTGGAGTTCTTTTGTTTGCCTGTAGCTTTTATTAAAACCCATAAAACAACAAATCCCACATTTCCATCTCCAGCACAAACCTTATGCCTGTGTACTCCTAACTCAAAAAGAAATCTAATTCCTTATTCCTTACCTGTCGATGTACCACAGGCTTCTCAAAATCATTGCCTAAACCTGAAGTCATACTTCTCCTAAAACCCGTTGCTCCTTCTTTATTCCTTCCCTTAACTATCTATAATATCATAAACCCTGTAGGCCACAGAAAACCAAATCCCCTTCCCCTCCTTCATCTCTCATATGCAACCTACCTGTAAAATGCCTTGCTTCTTTCTTATCTTTCCCATCCTTTATTCTTTCTACTACCAACCGTAGTTCAAACCTCATTACATAACATACATGTCACCAATTAGTTTCACACTACTCCTTAAAATCAGAGCTATCTCTGTAATCCAATCAAGTTATTCCAATTGTAAGGTTTTTTTTTCAGTAGCTTTCTACTAAGAAAAGGATCAAGTCCAAAGCTCACTTTGATTGGGCCCTTATTGATATCCTGAGTCTCTCATAACATCTCTACACACAGTCTATATGGACACCAAACAACTAGAATTCCACAAATTTACCTTGCTCTTTTCTATTATTACATCCCCATATAGTGTCTTCCCTTCCTCACTGACCTGGTAAGTACCTAATCATCTTTAAAATCTAAATTCCTAAATTTCCTCCCATAAGTGATTTCCTAAGCAAATTATTCCTTTTATTTATCCCATTGCAATATATTATATGATTACATTTTAACACATTTTACACATCATTTTAATTGTATTTTTCATTTGTCTTTCTCACCAGACGGGAAGCTTCCTGAGAACAGTTCTCTGAGGTACATTCGCTCTGTCACTACCGCCTAGTATAGTGCTCAACACAAACAAGGTACTCAGATGCTTAATGAAGAAAATAAATCATCAGGTTGCCAAATGGAATGCCATCTCTAATACGTGAGTTATAAAACGGTATCAGAAGCAGATGGAGGACAGGCCATCTAAAGAAGATTACAGTATGATCTCCCTTCCACTTTAAATTGTTTCACCTTCAAAAGGACATTTCTGTTAAAGTGTCTCAGCAGAATACTTGTAACTGTGTAAGTATCTAAAAATATTACACATTGGAATGCAATCTCCTAAACAGATATACTTCAAGAACTTGGGAACAGTATTTCAAAATTTCTTCATTAAGGTGACTTTGAATACAATATGGAGGAGACCAAGACGTTCCTTAAATCTCATCTTAAAAAAACTAAATAAAATGTAATTCATATTAGATACAGTATGACCTAATGGGCTGTGATACATGGTAGAGGGTTGAACAAAAAAGAATGCTGGTGAGTGAGGTGCTTGCTGTCTTTGAAAACAATATCCAAGGGGCGCCTGGGTGGCTCAGTTGATTAAGCGACTGCCTTCGGCTCAGGTCATGATCCTGGAGTCCCGGGATCGAGTCCCACGTCGGGCTCCCTGCTCAGTGGGGAGTCTGCTTCTCCCTCTGACCCTCCCTCCTCTCATGCCCTCTTTCCATTTCCCCCCCCAAAAAAAAAAAAAAAATTTTTAAAAAAAAAAAAAAAACAATATCCAAGAATAAGACCTTAATGCTATTTTCCCAAGAAAAAAGGGGTCCTAACTTGCTATCATAAGTGCTGTGGCTTTCAACTGCCATAACTTTATTCTTACTATCAAACTCCTTATGGTCTTAACAGTTAACCCTCTTTCTTTCCTACTGGAAGGGCACTATTATATATCAAGGCCAACAAACTGACATTTCTTCCAAATTTTATGAGCTTAGTTTATTAGAAAACAGTCTCTTGTATTTTAATACTCATGGATGGAGAGGCAATTTTTTTTTTAAGTTTAATTCTGAAGTGTTCCAAGATTATTCTTTTAAAAAATAGAAAAAATAATATAACAAATACCCATTCCTCATTTTTAATAAATGTTAACATTTTTCTCATATTTCCTTCAGCTCATTCTTTTTTTTATTTTTTAAAGATTTTATTCATTTGTTTATTTGAAAGACAGAGAGAGCCTGAGTGGTGGGGGAGGGGCAAAAGGAAAGGGAGAGAGAGACTCTCAAGCAGACTCTGCACTGAGCATGGAGCCCAATACAGGGCTGGAGCCCAAGAGCCTAAGATCATGACTTGATCTGAAATCAAGAGTCAGACGCTTAATCGACTGAGCCACCCAGACACCCCCAGCTCACTTTTTATTTTCCAACATTCACAGAAGTAGAGAAAATAGTATAGAGAATTTTCATCTCAGAGCTTGAAAATTATCAACATTTTTGAAAACTTGTTTCATCTAATCACCATCTCACAACACATACAACCCACTTCTGCTTCCCCTGAGTATTTTAAAGAAAATTTACAGGATAACTTTCAAGTGTCTGAACACAAAAGCTGAGATCTTGGGCCACTGGCAACCTAAGTTAAGAAGCCCTCTGATGCACTCCTTAAAAGACATTAAGAGCAGTTTAACTATAACAAGTTCTTTGAACCCAGAAGTTACTTAACCTAGAGGTGGAGCTTAGCACTCTGGAACTTAGTAAAATTTGTTCTTAGAATCTCTCATCAATATTCAACTTGGACATTCATCCGCCCATGTAACAGCTTTCAGAATTATTTCTAACAACTACTGGGGTTATTCCTAGCAGGGTTAAGATTTCAAGGATTCTATCCAGAAGTAAATTATTTTAGGTTCTTATCAATTCATTCCTAAAACTTACGGGAAAAGAGGACCAGGGAAAGAGGCTCTACTTAACTGTAGTTTAGGCTACGGATCTAGGCACTGTCTCCCCATTCTGGAATAAAAATGACCAGAAATCAAAAAGAAAATATGCAGGCTAAGTAGAAAGGATGCAAAGTGCTCACATGCATGGAAGTAAGCAGACAAGTGTTTATTTAGAACAGAACATGTCCGGGGCACCTGGGTGGCTCAGTCAGTTAAGCTTCAGATTCTTGGTTTCGGCTCAGGTCATGATCTCATGATCTCATGATCTCATGGACTGTGGTATTGAGTCCCAGGTTGGGAGCAGGGAGTCTGCTTGAAAGATTCTATCCCTCTGCCCCTCCCCTCACCCCCTCGCTCATTCTCTTTCTCTCTCTCTCTCCTCCTTTCTCTCAAAAAAACCCAGACATGTCCATGCTCCTTTCCTCCCCCTCCAAAAAAAGTCACTATTTGCCTGTGGCTATAGTTATTGATATTAATCTGTAAGTAAAGAGTAATAAGGGGCGCCTGGGTGGCTCAGTCATTAAGCATCTGCCTTCGGCTCAGGTCATGATCCCAGTATCCTGGGATCGAGCCCCGCGTCGGGCTCCCTGCTCAGTGGGAAGCCTGCTTCACCCTCTCCCACTCCCCCTGCTTGTGTTCCCTCTCTCGCTGTGTCTCTCTCTGTCAAATAAATAAATAAAATCTTAAAAAAAAGTAATAAAAGCACAAGGGACCCACTTATGGACTCTGAGTAATACGCATAGTATACTCATGGGTCAAGGTGATAAACAGACCTAATAAGCAACCAAGCAAAGTAGTCAAATGTTACCAGTTGCAAAATAAAATATCTAAGTACTTAAAATTACCTTTAATATCTTTACCTGGTGCCAATTTTATACTCCTTTTCCAAAACTCATGTAATATGCTTACTTGTATATCATTCTCCCATCCCACCGCCAGTCCTATCAGATTAGGAAATGATGTAATTAAGATGATAGATTCTAGGGTATTAACTGGTTTTAAGGTATCTAAAGCCTCTTGAAGATCTTGAAAGCTAGAAGGAATGCTTATCAAACATAATTCTGTAACATTACAGGACATTTTCAGGTAACTAAAGAGACATTGCAAGATTTTTAAAATAAATTTCAAAATGAATAAAAGAATCCAATTATAACACAGAAATGTATAATGACACACAATAAATGCAGAAGAAATTTATATTATAGATGTTCCCACTCCCTGTATTAGTGCAATAAAAGGTACTTTATTGGTACTACATAAAATTATTGGGCAGAGAGGAAAATTACAGGATACTGTAAAACTGAAGAAAATGAGGCAATCTCTAAATGTTGACAATTATTACCACATGCTATTGGCATTGCTGTAAACAATGGTTCATTTGAAATAAATAATTTTCCTGCAAATATTACTGCATGTTATTCCCCATATCTACCTTATTTCTTTCCCTTGTATAGCCCCAGTTCTCAAAACTTAAGCCTGATTCAAAGGCATAGTTCCCTGCTTTTCCAACGGAGAGTAAAAGTTCTGTCTATGGAAAGAAAGTGCCTCTATAATTATGGTCATTAGTTATCTAGCATCACTAGAAAATGAGCTATTCTGGTCAAATAAACTAATAACCCTTTAACTGAAAGCAAAACTGTTCTGGACAAGGACAAATCCTTTCGTTGAAAGCATTCTTGATCATCTCAAGTACATAGAACTATAATGTTAAATATTTCTTTTTTTTAAGATTTTATTTATTTATTTGAGAGAGAGAGAGAATGAGAGAGAGAACACGAGAGGGGGGAGGGTCAGAGGGAGAAGCAGACTCCCAGCTGAGCAGGGAGCCCAATGTGGGGCTCGATCCTGGGACTCCAGGATCATGACCTGAGCCGAAGGCAGTCGCTTAACCAACTGAGCCACCCAGGCGCCCCTCATGTTAAATATTCCAATTAATTTCAAAATATTTCAATCTGTTTTTAGGTATTTCACATTCCTAATCATATACCTCAAATGTACACCCATAGAAGTACAAATCTATGTACATATTTTCAAAAGGGTTGAAAAAAATTAAAATAAGGTGGCTTCTCATGACTTGAGCTTCATGAAATTGAAGGGGATATAAAGTAAAAAAGGTAGAAAATTTAGGTCTATGGGAAGTGGGAGTGGGGAGAAAAACTTAAAAAATAAAATGTTATTACTAAGTATGAAGCAGTTATGAAAAAACACAAAGATTTTGGAGGTTTCCTAGATTATCACCCATATGTAAACATCAAGTTGCCTCAAGATCTCTTGAGCTGGCAAAAGAAGCCTACACTAAAAATCTCAGGAGTTATTGAGAATGACAAGCAATGGGGCTTGAAACAAATTTAACAAAACCAGTATCTTCAGGGCAAGATGTATTTATGTTCATAACCTTCAGCCATGTGAATAATTTTCTCATCCCCAACTGATGAGGGACAGAAGCAGAAAAATGTTCATCTTTAGCCCAGAAAGTTGACCTATATAGCCTTCATAGTTGTGATAAGGATCAAATCTGCACTGGTTGCTACATTCTTACAGGGTCTCAGGACTGCCTGTATCTCTCACTGATAGTTAATATTGAACTGAATGACAAACACCAGAGAAATCTTGCAATAGTAGTTTCATGACTATGAGTGGAAATTCAAAGAAAACATTTATGATCTAATATGCCCACTCCACGTTTCCTCCCTCTTGAGCACTAAGCATAAATAAAATCTTAAAAAAAAAAAAAAAAAAAAAAGGGCGCCTGGGTGGCTCAGATGGTTAAGCATCTGCCTTCGGCTCAGGTAGTGGTCCCAGAGTCCTGGGATCGAGTCCCGCATCGGGCTCCCTGCTCCTTGGGACCCTGCTTCTCCCTCTGCCTCTCTCTCTCTCATGAATAAATAAATAAAATCTTAAAAAAATAAATAACCACCAACTTCATACAGCAAAAGTGTAGCTCTTTCCGCCCAAGGGTCCTGAGACTGTGCTACTAAATAAAGTTGCACCATACAAGGCTCAAGAATTCTTTCTTGACCATTATGTTCCACCACCATGCAAATCAACCACTGTTCTTTCTCACTCCCCTTTCACCACCCCTAGACCCAAGTTCAGGAGTCAAAGTCCATGGGAAAAATACTGAAATATACCAAAATGTACCATTCAAAATGGGTTGTGATGGGAACAGCCATCTTCCAGTAATTCACCAAAATGATCAACACAAAGGGAAAAAGGAAAGACACCCACTGTATGTTCTCTAGCCTTTTAGAAAACATGGGGTTGTTCCTTTGGCCACATACATGCAAATCTACAAGAAAGGTGATATTGTAAACATCAAGGGGATGGGCACTGCTCAAAAAAGAAAGCCCCCACAGATGTTACCATGGCAAAACTGGAAGAGTGACAATATTACCCAGAATGCGGTTGGCATTGCTGTAAACAAATAAGGGCAAGATTCTTGCCAAGAGAATTCATGTATTGAGCATTTTAAGCATTTGAAGAGCCAAAATAGCTTCTTGAAGCATGTGAAGGAAAATGATCAGAAAAAGAAGGAAGCCAAAGAGAAAGGTTTTTGGGTTCAACTGAAGCAACAGCTTGATCCGCCCAGAAAAGCACATTTTATAAGAACCAATGGACAGGAACCTAAGCTGTTGGAA